GGCCCCCGACAGGTGTCACGTCTTGAAGATTGCTTAAGATACCACCCCTTATCTGGGAGCCTGCCTTTCCTATGCAAAGGCTGGCACCTTGCAGAGGCAGCGGTGTTGGGGGCTGAGGTGCAGCCCAGACCTGTTGGGGTTAACCATACCATCTGAGGCCTGCCCACCTTTCCCTGGCCCGTTCCTTATCAAGGAAACCATGAGCGGGCCTGTCATGCTCTGGGCTCCACAGTGGACCATGGTCCTTCACCATGGTACTAATCTGAGCAAACTGGATGCTTTATCATATAAAATAAGGTGAACTGGGAAGTTTGGGCAAAGCAAAGTGTCTAGGCCATGTGGGATCTCTTGGGCAAACTGGTTAGCTAGATCAGCCCAACAACCACCGGGCTCTGGATTCAGCAAGACTTTGCCTCAGTAAATAAAGCAGAGCTCAAGCAATGATAACACCTGCCTTTATCTCATTTGCATCTCCTGCTGGCCCTGCTACTATCCCAGTCTTACAGAAGAGGGTCAGAGAGTTCAGTGATGGTCTCACAGCTACCCAGCTGCAGAGGCACCTCCCATGGACACCTTTCAAGGAAGCTGGAGCAGCTGCTGGCACCCTTAGAACTGTTTCCTGCAGCAGTGACCACAGTCCTTACATTGTAGGAGCAGCTGGTCCAGCAGGCCTGGGTCAACACCATGTTTCCTTCCTGCCAGTAATTAGCATAGGAACTCAGAGAGATGCTTCAGGGTCAGTGAACTAGACTGCCTGTCTAGTTTAGAGGGATCTTTGCCCAATTTGGGAGCCCCTGGCCAGGTCTGAAATGCCAAGGCTGGTCTGGCAGCACTTAACTTCCCTCAGCCCTTCCCAGTCCCAGTAACTGGCACCTAAGAAGAGGCAGAGTGGAACTGGGGTTCCAAAGCTAGAGAAGACACCAGTTGAGAATCTTAAAAATATACAGGAGGAGCAGAAAGAGGATTCTTGGATGATAAGAGGAGATGGCTCAGAGGGGAAAAGATCTAGCTGCTCAAGCCTCGTGACCCAAGTAGGAAGCCTGATGCAAGACACACACCTGTAAATTTACCACTCCTACATCGAGATGAGAGGCTCAGGCGAACTCGCCTAGGGTACACAGTGCAGCCAGCGGCAGCAGGGACACACACCTGTAAATTCACCACTCCTACATCGAGGCTCAGGCGAACTCGCCTAGGGTACACAGTGCAGCCAGCGGCAGCAGTAACAAGAGACCCTGTCTGGACAAGGTGGAAGGCAAGAACCCACGAACCACACATGTACCGTGGCACATGTATGCACAAACAAATACTAAAAAGAAAGAAATCACCAGGGCTGTGGTGGCACATGACTTTAATTCCAGCTCTGGGGAGCTGAAGGCAGGAGGATTAGGAGTTTAAAGTCAGGCGGGGGTGGCCCACTAGGGCTGTGCTCTCCTATAATCCCAGCACTCAGGAGGCAGAAGCAGGAGGATGGTTGCAAGTTTGAGGCTATCAATTCCAGCTGAATAGCAAGTTCCAAGCTCGCCTGGGCTATTACATAGTCATGGGTCACCACCAAGGTTTTCCCAGAACATGAGGTGGTGGACTGGGGCACAGCTCCAGGGCAGGCGCTCTCCTAGCATTATGTAGCCATTGTACCCCCTCAATAGGGGCCATCACTGACCCCAATTCAAAATTTTAGACCTTGATGTTTTTTTTATTTAGTTTTTAAATTTTATGTGCATTGGTGTTTTGTCATGGATGTCAGGTCCTCTAGAACTGGAATTACAGACAGTTGTGAGAATTGAACCTGGGTCCTCTGGAAGAGCAGTCAGTGCTCTTAACCACTGAGCCGGGTTTTGATGTTCTTACAGACTTAGATAACTTTTTCAAGTGAAATGTCACATGGTCGAAGGTGTCTTATGCCGGGGCTTTTCACCCTCCACCTTCACCTCCCTGTACATTCCTGTTCTGCCCACCAGGTCTTCCTCTGCCACCCAGAGCCTAGACCCTAACCTGACTTCCTCCAGTGTCCTGGCTTTTGATCCAGCTGAAGAACCTCCTTCCTACAACATGCTCCCCTGCCAGTAACCATCTCCCAGGGGTCCAGCCCTCATCCTCACCCTCTGCACCTCCTCCCACACCCTCATCCTTGGACCTAAACCACCATCCCCAGCAGACCCTCCCCCAACCACCTTTTCCTTCCCACACCTGATCTTGGGCAACAATGTCCCCCTACCTACATAAGGTGGCAGGAAGGATGGCCCCACCAGAGTCCCCATGCCCTTCACACCAACAGAAATGGACATCATAGGCTGGGTTATTCTCTGAAAACACACTCCGTTTCTGAAAAACAGTTTACCCGAATAAGTCAAGCCTATGACATCACCTGGCATGATACATATTATATCCTGACCTCTACCCTCGAACAAGATGAAAAGGACCATATCTAGAAGGCAGTCAGGGACCACACTGATAAACTCCATCAACAAAATGACACCTTCCTCTCCGGGAGAATTCAGTCCTTTTGAGGGACCCAAATTGGAATTCTGGGCACACAGCCACCGAGACCGAATGTCTGCAGCTAGTGGTAACTTACTTAGCTGAGCACATACAATAACATGCCCATCCCAGAGTGAACTTTGACAAGCTAAAGAGGTCACTCAGGGCTCCAATAAAATCCCCATGCTTCCTATTCCATCTCACTGGAGCAATGGTACGATGAACTAATGTGGACATTAATTCCCCAGAGAGAACTTTCTTACTCCATGTCCATTTTCTCCCATCCAAGTATTAACCAGGCCCAACTGTGCTGAGCTTCCGAGATCAGACGGGATTGGGCATATTCAGGGTGGTATGGTCATTGACCTCCATGTCCATTTTCTGGGTCAGTCTAGCCTGGACATTAGACACAAGCTGTAAAGACTAGAAAAGTGACAAGAACTCCTCAAAATGATTCCTCGGTGTGGGTCTTTAAGGTTTTTAACAGCAGAGAGGATGAGGCTAAGAAGGAAAAAGAAAGAAATTGTGAAAAGGATCAGAGAGGATGCCATGGCTGCTTCCAATTCCTGGCAGCAACTCTCCAAAACCCAACCTAGGCTGTTACCCACTGTCCCAAGGAAGCAGAGTCAGCCTCCTCGTCTTTGACTTTTGATGCAATCAAACTGGCCATTTAGGCTAAGGAGTGTCCTAACCCATGGCCACCTTTCAAGGCTTGTCCCAAGCTGTGGGAAATGGGGCCACTGGAAGGTAGATTATCACACTGAGTGACATGGGCTAGCCCAGACCGACAACCTAATAACAGCAGGAGTCTCAGGCATTCTCCATAATGCACCATGTACACCTAGTTTAGTGTGGCCACACCACCCTCACACATTCCCGTACCCCAGTGTCTTGGTGCTCACTACCATTATTAGGCAGGGATCTCTTGTCTAAGCTTACTGTTTCCATGTTCATCCTTCTCTGAGGATGTTCACACTTTTCCTCCTTAGCCTGGGCTCCAGTGACACCTCCACCCTAACCCAGACCTCCACCCAAAGCCCTCCGTCAACCCCTAGCCCAGGACACCTTGAACACCTCACTAGCTAACTATCATGGTAGTATCTTCATAACCTAGCGAGACCCTTCTACCTTTGTTGTCCAGGACCAAGGTCCTCTCACTGCCACCTCCATGACTCTCAATGACCACAAGTTGAGCAACTACTTTTTTTTTTTAACCCTGCTAATTTACCTCACAATACTTCCATTCTAGGTGTCAAAAGCCCTTATCAATGACACTTACCACCTGGTCCAGGACCTCAGGAAAATCAATCAGGCCATTGTTTCCCCCATCTCTGTAGCCATTAACCCATAGGCACTTCCCTCTTCCACCACCTCCTCTCCTGACTTCTTGTCTGTCTTTGATTTGGAAGATATCTTCTTTACCATCCCCCTACATCTGTCATCCCAAACCCTTTTCATTTTCACTCAGGAGGATACAGACAGCCTGCACATCGAGCAACTCACCTGGATGGTTCTGCCCCAGGGATTCTGAGACAACCCTCACTACTTTGGCCCTACAGAAGGACCTCACCAACACAGATGTACCCAGATTGCTTCTCCAGTGTGTAGATGATCCCCTCTTCTGCAGCCTTTCCCCCACAGACCAACCTCTAGCACTCCTCAGACCTCCTTAACTCTTTGACTTCCTGGGGATACAGCGTCTCCTGAGACAAAGCTCAGATCTGCCAACTTGGGTCACCTGTCTGGGCCTCCCAGTCTCACAAAGCGCGAGAACTGTACCCGACCAGAATAGAGGAGCTCCTCACCTAGCCCACCCCATGAACTAAGTGTGAGCTGCTTGCACTACTACTTACATTGCGCTGGGAATATGGATCCCCAACTTCTCTCTTGCTTTCTCCCATAAACTTACTCTGTGGGAGCCCTTCAGACTTACACAAGCCTTTTGTCTCCTTTACATGCTAACCAAGAACAAACCCTTGCAATATTCTGTCAAAAAGTGGGGTGCACATATCCTCTCATAGCCTTTTGCTCCAGTTAGACATGATCACCACACCAGCATCTCTGTCTCCAAACTCTGGCCACAGTGACACTGCTTGTCCCTGAGGCAAATAAAATCTCACTTCCCAGCTGCTACACATTCTTACTACACACTCACTCAAGGACCTCATTGGCCACCATGCTTTCCCCACACTCCCCCTGGCTCTGAGTCCAGCTTCTCCATGCTTATTTACTAGATCCCACCCTTGTATCTGAGCTAGGCCCGTCCCTCAACCCTTTCACACTCTTCTCCAATAACCCCTTCGGGTCCTCAGACATCCTTCACTTTTTCTCTGATACACTTGGCCTGTCTTGTAACCCTTTGCCCACTGGACCCCAATCAGTTTGACTAAATGTCCTCAAGAAAAGCCCTGCAAAATTCCATTTCAGTGATGTTGGAACATGGAATGAGTGTCTTAGCTCCTACCCTGAACAAGCCTGTGTTGTGATAACACTCCATGGCATGGAAGTCAGGACTGTCCCTGAGACAGAAGAGACCCGAGCATTGTGGCTGCCTCCGAACAGAACAAACTGTGGATGTGTGGACACTAGCTGGTCTTTCCTGGTTTGACATTGCTAGTCCAAAGGCACGGCCAGGGGCCCCCACACAGGGACAAGGCACCAATTCTTCTATTGGATGGGGAGCTTAAGGGGGCATAATTTGGGAGTTAACCATAAAAAACTCTACACAATTTTAGATTGGGATTAAATATCTATAGGACAAATGGCCCCTCCAAACTTTATAGTTGTCCCTAGGACCCGAACCCATTTCTGTTCCTGTGTGCACAAACAACCTAGACCCTGGGCACCCCAGCTCACCAACTCCCTCCTGGGATCAGGGCCCCACAACCACAACCACAATCACAATCACAATCACCCTTCTTTAATCCCAACACCCCTCTCATAAAAATGCTCCAGCTGGGAAATTCCAGCCATGTCTCACTGTCCAGAGCCAGGGAAAAATTCATGGATTTGTTTGAGAGCCAGCCAAATGACACATACCGGGCAGGCATACCCAGCCTAACACAAATCAGCCAGTCAATAGATGAACCCTGCTTAGCTGGAACCCTGGTTCAAATAATTGGCAAGGCCAACTGTATAGGACCAGAATCAAATTGTACCCAGCTGGTTCTCAAGACAAGTGCATCAAAGGGTCCTTGCTTTTTATGTCAGATAGTACTTAACAGTTACTACCCTGGAGGACCATGTGCCAGTCTTCCCCATGCTAGGCTTAGATGCTATCCGGAATGTTTATCAATATCTTGATCATAGCAGTAGAAGAAAGAGAAGCCCCAGGTTCCTTCAGTACTCCTGGGGGTGGCCCTATGCCAGTCTTCCCCATGCTAGGCTTAGATGCTATCCCGAGATGGGATGTTTATCAATATCTTGATCATAGCAATAGAAGAAAGAGAAGCCCCAGGTTCCTTCAGTACTCCTGGGGGTGGCCCTAGAGAGGCATCAATGACAGGGCTCCAACAGTTACAACACAGCCAGCCAACTGACCAATCAGGTTAAGGAAGACCTGCTTTGGTATAACAAAGCATAATCACCTTACAAAATCAAATAGATCCCCTAGCTTCGGTGGTCCTCCAAAACCGCAGAGAACTAGACTTAATGACTGACAACAGGGGGCATCTGTGCCTTCCTGCAGGAAGGATGCTGTTTTCATGGGAACCAACTTGGCCTTTTGAGACCATGCTAAACAATTAGGAAGAATCAAACACAGAGAAAGGCAGACAGTACTTTCTGGAAGGACACCTGACCACTTGGGGACCGTAGGTTGCCCCTTTGGCAGACCCAATCATTATGCTCCTGCTAACTTGACTCTTTGGTTCCTGCCCTTTCAGCTGTCTCACCAAGTTTCTGCAGCAAATACTTTCACTGCCCAGAATTCTTCATGGCCAAGGACTACCAGACGCTATCCTGGAAGGGACTTCTGCATGCCCCCCTTCCACTGTTGAGACCATTAACTCCCTCCAGCTGGAAGAAGACCCCCTTGAAAAAAACTACAACTCCTTCCCCCTTATTCTCTTTACCCTTCCAGTTAGCAGGTCATACCCCAGGTATAGCAAGCGCCAGCTTGAATAGGGATGGCGGAATTCCCATTTAGAAGACACAGGCTGTGGACTGAGGAGGTAGCTCCATCAACAGAGTTGAGTCCTTGAGGCCAAGTAAAGTGTAAAAGAGAGAACCAACTACACAGTGCTATCCTCTGATCCATTAAATAAATGACTTGCATATGAATGAATAAATGTGTGCATGCAAAACAAATAATGAATTAATAACATATGCAAATGAACACAGAAACAGAGTGTTGTGAGGTTAATTTCTCCTCAACTGAAGGGGGAGGGAAGGAGCATCCCTGTCTCTTGCATACGGCTGACACCGGAGGGCGTGGCTTGCCTTCCCCAGCCCCACTCACCCGGCCCAAGAACTGCAGGAAGGTGTTAGAGAGCAGCAGGTGCTTCTCAGCCAGGAAGCGGTAGCGACGCTTCTCTTCCAGCTCGGCTGCGCGCTTGCTCTCCGACACAAAAGCCTGCATCTGTGCGTGCAGCCGGTTCACGCTCTCCTGGAGGCAGAAGGAGAAGGTCTGGTTGGGGGGGTCTGAGCCCTGTTCTGGCTCAGATGCCCTTCTCCAGGCCTCCCCTGAACGCACAGTTTGCACCTTCAGCCTGTGTCCTGTCTCTGGTACCCTGCACAGGGGAGTGCAGAGGTGGCCATAGGGAGAATGTTTATGGAAACAGGAATGACAGGATGAGTGATGCTCTATTGGAAGGGAGATTCTGGGGAGAGGAGACAGCAGCTCATTAAAAGGGCAGTAAAGAGGCGGGCGGGGTGGTGGCACGCCTTTAATCCCAGAACTCGGGCAGGTGGCAGGTGGATCTCTGTGAGTTTGAGACCAGCCTGGTCTACAAGAGCTAGTTCCAGGACAGCCTCCAAACCACAGAGAAACCCTGTCTTGAAAAACAAAACAAAAAGGGGCAGTAAAGGACCCAGAGGTTAAATCGTGGGCTTGGGTCCCAGAGACCCAAGGGATGGCAGGGATGGCAGCTGGGAGTGCCCTTGACAGGGACTGGATGTCTCTTTTCAGGCATGCTGTGGGTAGACCCGTTTTTTGCTACCCATTCAAGAGTAACAATGGTCCCCCTCTTTTTTTTTTTTTTTTTTTTTTTTTTTTTGGTGAGGCTGAGGGAAGGGGAGGTGCTGAGGGTGGTCTTTGGTGACTCTCCCCTACTGTGCTCCACAGCTGGGATCATTTTGTGTGGAGGAGCTCACAAGGGCTCTAGGGTTTCCCCAGAGACCTATCCCCAGCCACTCAGCCTTCATACCTTCATCTCCCTTGCATTCTTGTCCCTCTTGCGTTCCATGCGCCAGAGCTCAGACATGCACTTCTCCAGGTTGACCGCTCGGTGCCGATACTCAATTTCATAGTGCTGGCAGCTATCCTGGGGTACGACAGAGAGTCATGGGGGATCCCCACATTAAAGAGGCCAGGGCTTAGAGTAGTTGACAAGGAACCAAGGGGCCTAGATGGGACTGTGTACAACCTGGGGCAGGTGGATGCTTGGGGTTGTCTGGTCCTCTCCTGCAAGGGTGTGTGTGTGTGTGTGTGTATGTGTGTGTCTGTGTCTGTGGCTGTGTCTGTGTGTATGTGTCTGTGTCTCTGTGTGTGTGTGTGTGTGTCTGTGTGTGTGTGTGTGTGTGTGTGTGTCTGTGTGTGTGTGTGTGTGTGTGTGTGTCTGTGTGTGTGTGTGTGTGTGTGTGTGTCTGTGTGTGTGTGTGTGTGTGTGTGTGTCTGTGTGTGTGTGTGTGTGTGTGTGTGTCTGTGTGTGTGTGT